CCAATTGTTACCTAATGCCTAAAAGACAGGGGTGTTGCAAGGGCCGAACGACTTATCCTTCAACCGTTTAATATCATGAAAGAGAGGTCCTTCACGATATTTCGCCTTCGACACTTGAGTGCCATACACAACCCTGAAACCCATGAGAGATTGCGCGGTTGTGGGTAACGCATGAAGTGTCGCTATTATAACAGATCAAGTGAGTACACATGACTGAGTGTTATAGTCCCCTTAGCGGTTGCATTTTTTTTTATGCAACTCTGCGCGAGCCTCGCTCAGACACTTTGGCTTTTTAGAAGTTATGGGTCAGGACATATGAAAAAAGGACCAGGCTTATTTGTTTGTTTGAGTTAGTTTTATTTTTATTGAGTGTTGTGTAGTTGAGTTGGGATGTCCTAATCGACCGACACTGAATTGCACGTGGGAGATCAGCACCCCAGCATGACGGTTCACGTACAGGTCCGAGCTAGGCGTGGACTGCTCGTAGCCCCAATGCTATACCATACGAGAAATGCCCTCAACTGGGCCACCTCCGCGATTGCACGTAAAAACCTTCATGCGATGTTCAATAGCTTGGTGGGGATATGTCCACCCACGGGATGGTGACAACTCCCACGGGTGGAGGTAAGTTGTACCTTGCGAGACGCTATCCTGTCGTAGGGACTCGATGGAGGTATGAGGTATAGCTGGCGCACTCGGCCGGAGCGGCTCCGACGCTTCCCCATTCGTGAAGCGACTTGCAAATCTGCCCATCCTGAGTGACGTGGCCGGAAAGGTCCCCCTAGCAGGGACCGAGCGACCAAGAACATCTACGTCTAGCCCCTGCGGATGAAATTGTTGTGGAACGCGTTGAAGGTTGGTCAAAAAGAAGGTACAAGGCCTAGTATGAAAGAAAAATCCGAATAAAATAATTGAGATAAGTATTTCTACAGTGTTCACCCTTCGATCACTGGTGACGTTCATACTACCCCTAGCGACCGCGTGATGAGCACCTACTAAACCCCAAGTACACGGCCCCAACATTGCATAAAGTTTTTGTTGCCACAAGTAAAACTCGGAGAGGCCGCGCGGCGTGGGGCGTCGTTGAAAAAAAAAATCGGCAGCCTTCGAAATGGTGCGGGTTTCGTGCTGACATCGCGGCCTATGTGTGGTGTACTGGTGCTGTAGTGATGCACAATACGCAAATCATCGAGAAGGACAAGCAAAAGTGCACCTAGTGGCTGATCCTAATTCTACCAATTTTCGTAAGAACCTAAAAGTGTCATTTTTAGCGGCCCCGGTCCAAGCGGTTCGTAAAAGCAAACTGGGATCCGACTTCTCCTCTGTTCTCAGGGCTTTTTCGAGTAAATCGGCGGGTTGTTGTGGACGGGTGGGTGGGGTTGGATTTCGGGGTGTTCGTTCGGACAACGCGTGGTGGCCTGTGTGGCCGTGGGTGGTATGTGACATTGCGGTGGTTTGTCCTCCAGTGTGGGCTCAGGGGGTTTTGTGTGGCAAGCATGGGGACCGTCGTGAGGCCTTTTCTGGCCTCTGTTGTAGCAACCCACAAGTTTTGGATCGGCGTGGCAAGGGAGGTGTGAGTTTTCGTAGCGCCTGTTTCCGCCATACCCTGTCTGTGCCAAGCGTGCACTGCACGTTGGGACAGCGGTGATTTCCCTATCCATCACCTCGTGGGCACGGGCAGCACGTGCCGGTGGTCGGTCAGGCATCACAACTCCTGCCATTTTCTCCCCTGGGTCATGCTTGATATGGCGGAGGCGTCCGTGAGCTACCATCGTCGCAGCTCGACTGACAGAAGTCTGGTAGGAGTGTCTGGTAGGAGTGGCATATCAGGCATATAGATAAGCGTTGTGTTCGAAGGCAGGAAATTGAAGTGGGAGAGGTGATCCGCCCCCTTCGTACGTGTTTTTTATACATAGTCTTGCCTCGGCCTTGCAACACCGCTATCCTCCCTTCCCTCTCAACGCTGCATCGGTCGTTGAGGGATTTCTGCTTCACGCCTATTCGTCGACACAGAGTCTTCCGAGGTCTTCCCCCATTCAGCAACCATCCCCAATGGCTCGATTGACGCAGGCCCAACTCGATATGATACTTGCTGCGGTTATCCGCTAGCTGTGGATGAACAGTTATCTTGTTACAGACTCCGCCAGGGCTCGATCCCTGGTCTACCTTTTGCTGTTTCAGCTGCATCCCGTTTTCGGCCTGGCACCCTTTTTCCAAACCCCTCCTTTGGTACCGTAGGATTTTGGACAACTGGCGCCATGCTGCAATTCAGGCGCCACTTTCAAATACTGCATTTTTCAGTTCTGCCCTCGGGGCCTTTGCAGAAATGCCCCTAGTACCGTACGTGTCACCGGTACTTATACCGACTCCCCGTACGGTACGGGGCCCGGTCTCGTACCAGTTCCCTGCTGCTGTACTCGTACTCAGTGTGACTTGCTGTTTCGGCATTCGGAATCCAAGACTTCGACTTTGTGCCTTGCCACTGTGTCTGCGTCCGATCCTCAGTCCGAGTCAGTCGTGTCGAGTGAGTGAGTGTGTGTGTGTGCTCTCTCTCTCTCCCTCTCTCTCCTCTCCATCGGCTCACCCTCAGCCTTACGCTCGTTACACTGGTATCGGAGCGGTTCGCTCCTCCATCGCCGCAGTGACCTTTGACGACGACGCCACGTGATCAACATCGTTGCCATCATCCTCGGCGCKGCCACGTCATCGCCATCGTCGTGCCACGACAGCATCATAGATGACACACCACGTCATCATTGCCATGCTCCTCGTCGCTGCCCGGATCCTCGTTGTCGCCGTTGCCAGGTAAGCAACAAAATTTTATTTTTATTTTTTTTACTTATTTCTCTTTCTTCTTCTTCTTCTCATCTTCTTCTTCTTCCTTTCCAGTCTTCTTCACCCTCCCTAAGTCTTTTCTTTCCCTTTCAAACCGAAATCATTTCCCATTCGAAATCGATTTCAAATCGACATCAAAATCGATTCCAAATCGACATCGAAATCGATTTCCATCGAAATCGAAATCGATTTTAACTCGAAATCGAAATCGAAATCGAAATCGAAATCGATTTCAAATCGATATCGAAATCGATTTCCCATCCCGTCCCGCTCCCTTTCTTCTCCCCCGGATTCCCAGAGTTTCCCCCCATCGCGCACATTCCCCAATCCTTCACCGCCCCATTCCGACACCTTTTCCCCCCCC